CTGTAGATAAACAGAAACAATTTACAAGTCTTAGAAATATTTTTATGCATTATGGTAAACTCAAACTCAGTGACATATTTGAAGTTACATGTTATAGAATTTCTCAGCTCAAATTTTAAGAGGCTTAGTAAGCTCTCAAACACACACAATTCACATATACAGTCTCTACCTTCTGGTCAAAGTCACCATTCATGAATAGGCACAGCCTTTGCGGGAATAAGCTCAGGAAAGCCATGCTCTGTGAAGCTCAGGGAAGCATACCTGAGTGCCGTATGCATGAATAACAAAAATCTTTCCTTCCCAACATAATTGACCTTTACACTTTATGAGTAATGGTTACATGAAAAACACACCCAGCTGAAGCTTGGGGAAATAGATCATGACTCACTCTCCCATTCCACAAATACTAATGCAAGCTGTTGGCGTGTTTGTATCTTAATATCAGGACCATGTGCTTCTTTGTTTTCCGGACTCTATCTGATCTCCAGGAACACAGACAGTATGGCACAAGTTACCATAGTTAATGGTGTTCAACTTGTTTATCTTAAAGAGGTCTACAGGTAGAAAGAAAAAAAGGAAACCAGTATAAATGCTCCTGTAGAGGCTGCAAGCCGTAGAAATCAGTCCGACCTTACATAGACTGATTGACATGTAGGCTTAAATTTGGTCCTCATAACCCAGTTATCAGGCAAAGCCACGCAAGTCCATGTCCCCATGTCCCCTGCTTGCTACCTGAGCACACTTCCATTGAGATGACTTGGCACTCTGCATGTGCTGCTACCCAATAAATACAAACACCTCCTTGCTCAAGCTGTGTCAAGCTGATATTTGCTATTATTTGCAATCAAACTCATTCTGCTGATATACTTCTATTTTTTTTTAACAGTTAAACCTTCCTTATTTAGGACCACCTGAATGTGTTAGTCCTAGGAAGATCACAGTAAAAGAATGGAATCATACGCGAGGAAGCCATCAGAACACTCAACATTAATGCAAGGCAGGGCAATTATTACTACTTGAGCATCCCCAGAGGGGGAGCGAAAACCTCCAGGGACCACTCAGGAAATAATTCAGAAATGCTGGAGGAATAGCTTTTTCTTTTTTTTAAAGACAGAGTCTCGATCAGTTGCCCAGGATGGAGGGCAGTGGTGTGATCTCAGCTCACTTCAACCTCTGCCTCCCAGGGTTAAGCAATTCTTCTATTGCTTCAGCCTCCCCAGTAACTGTGATAGCAGGTGCATGTCACCAAGCCTGGCTAATTTTTGTATTTTTAGTGGAGATGGGGTTTTGCTCTGTTGGCCAGGCTGGTCTCGAACTCCTCATCTCAGGTAATCTGCCCACCTTAGCCTCCCAAAGTTCTGGAATTACAGGTGTGAGCCACCATGTTGGAACTGAAGGATTAGCTTCTTAAGAAACCGCTTAACAGGCCAGGCTTGGCGCGAATCACTTGAACCCGGAGGCAGAGGTTGCTGTGAGCTGAGACTGGGCCATGTTAGCCTAGGCAACAGAGTTAGACTCTGTCTCAAAAACGAAAACAAAACATAACACTTGCAGAGAGTCCTAGGGCTCTCATAATTCACAGTGAACCCTTCTTTGTGTGTATCCCCTTCAACTAAAGAGTCCACATATTCTTTTTTTTAGACAGGAGTCAGGGTCTCACTTTGTCACCCAGGTTGGAGTGCAGGGGCACCACCTTGGCTCACTGCAGCCTCAACCTACTCGGTTCAAGTGATCCTCCTACCTCAGCCCCCTAAGTAGCTGGGACTACAGGTATGCACCACCCACCCCAGCTTTTTTTTTTTTTTTTTTTTTTTTTTTGCATTTCGTATTTTGTGGGATTTTTTTTTTTTTAAGAGGGGGTTTCATCATGTTGCCCAGGCTGCTCTCAAACTCCTGAAGTCAAGCAATCCACCCTCCTCACCCTCCTAAAGTGCTGGGATTACAGGCATGAGCCACCACACCCGACAAGAGTCTACACATTCTGAAGTTATATTCTCATCAATTCAGATTCTGACCTTTCTCCAGGAAATCAAAGGATTTATACAAATAGTGTCTCCCCGCAGCCTCTGCACAGTAAGGGGCTGACATCATGTTTGGTTTGAAATTAGTAAGGAGCAGTTCCACTTGGGGCCGGCAGCCGTGGAGTTCAGAGGTTAACAGCAGCTTTCTGTTCCTGGACTGGGTCGTGCTGCTACTGACAGACCTTCCTTTGCACCCACGACCCCCTCTCTCTCCCTTGTCTCTTGTCTGGAACCACACTTCTGGGGCCACCCTCGACAGAGGTTAATTGATGTCTCCACTTGGCTGGGCTGTGGTGTCCACCTGTGTGGTCAAAGACCAATCTGGATGCTTCTGGGAAGGTACTTTTGAGGTATGATTAACATTTAAATCATCTGACTTTGGGTAAAGGCAATGATCCTCCACAATATGGCCTCATCCAGTCCAAAGATCTTAAGAGAAAAAGACTGAGGGCCGTCGCGGTGGCTCACACCTGTAATCCCAGCACTTTGGAAGGCCAAGGCAGGTGGATCACCTGAGGTTAGAAGTTCGAGACCAGCCTGGCCAACATGGTGAAACCCCCGCCTCCACTAAAAATACAAAAGTTAGCTGGGTGTGGTGCCGGGTGTGGTGCCAGGTGCCTACAATCCTAGCTACATGGAGGCTGAGGCAGGAAGATCACTTGAACCCAGGAGGTGGAGGTTGCAGTGAGCCAAGATCACGCCATTGCATTCCAGTCTGGGCAAAAGAGTGAAACTCCATCTCAAAACAAAACAAAAACAAACAAACAGAAAAAGGCTGAGATCCTCCTGAAGACCTGAAGAGCCAATTCTGCCTCCAGACCCTGCCTTCGGACATGAGCTGCCGCATCCACTCTCTGAGGCCCCAGCCTGCCAGCCTGCCTTGTAGATTTCAGACTTGACAGCCCCCACAATGGAGGGAGCCAATCGCTTAAAATAAAGCTCTCTCTTTCTTTCTCTCTCCCCAGCACCGCTGTCTATAGATACATAGATACAGATGTACCTAGATCCTGTTGGTTCTGTTTCTAGGAAGAATTCTAATGCACCATTCAAGGACATTGAATGGCATATTAAAATTAAATTTAACCCCAGTCTAACTGTCAGGAAAACCCCAAACAAACCAAAACTGAGGGACATCCTATAAATCTCCTAACCAAGACTCCTCAAAACTGTCAAGGTCATCAAAAACAAGAAAAGGCTGGGTGCAGCAGCTCATGCCTATAATCCCAGCACTTTGGGAGGCCAAGGTGAGTGGATCATTTGAAGTCAGGAGTTTGAGACAAGCCTGGTCAACATGGCGAAACCCCACCTCTACTAAAATTACAAAAATTAGCCAGGTCTGGTGACATGTGCCTGTAGTTCCAGGTGCTCGGGCAGAAGTATCACTTGAACCTAGGGGGTGGAGGTTGCAGCTGCTGAGATCATGCCACTGCACTCCAGCCTGGGAGACAGAGGGACACTATGTCTCAAAAAAAAGAAAAAAACAACAAACCAACCAACCAACAAACAAACAAAAACAAGAAAAGTCAGAGCAGCTGTCACAGCACAGAGGAGCCTGTGGGGCTAGGACAACTGAATGTCATGTGGGATCCTAGACGGGATCCTGGAACAAAAGGCAGGAGGAAAACTAAGAAAGTGTCAGTATAGTCTTTAATGAGTAACAATGTTTCAATGTTCATTCGTTAGTTGTGACAAATCATAGTAATGAAAAATATTAATGATAGAGACAAAATAGATGTGAGTGTTTGAGAACTCTGTGTTTTCTTTGCAATTTCTCTGTAAATCTAAAACTGTTCCAAAGTAAAGTTTATTTTAAAGTATATTCCTTTACTCGTCATGCATGTAATGTGTTTGAGAAATGTGTATCGGATGCTTGCCGTTTAACGCCTGCTAGCATCGTGGTGGGAAAAATGAGCAAAGAGCCTACAAGTCAGTAAGAGACAAGGGCCAAGGGAGCACACAGGTGAAGCTGGGTTTGCTGCAGAGGAAGACATGGGGCAAAGGACAGGCGTTCTTTCAGATGAGGAGGTACAGAAAAGGTCCTCCGAGGAATTTAAAGATGAGAGAGACCCACCAGCCAAGAAGAGGAGGGGGCCAGAGAAGCTTAGGGACACTGGTCTAGGCAGAGGTAACAGCAGGTGTGTGGCCTTCTCTGTAGAGAAAGTCGCACATGGGGAGAAACAGAAAGGAGGTCCATGGCTGGTAGGGAAGGGGAGGGCAGAATGAGACGAGGAAAGAAGCGGGCAGCGGTAGGTATGCAGATCCCTTTCCAAGCTTGGGATGTTTTTCCCCTGCAACAGGAAGCCATCTGTATTAGTCTGTTCTCACACTGCTGATAAAGACATACCTGAGAGTGGGTAATTTATAAAGAAAACAGGTTTAATGGACTCGCAGTTCCACATGGCTGGGGAGACCTCACCATCATGGCAGAGGCAAAGGAGAAGCAAAGCCACTTCTTACATGGCGGCAGGCAAGAGAGCGTGTGCAGGGGAACTCCCGTTTATAAAACCATGAGATCTCATGAGACTCATTGACTGCCTTGAGAGCAGCATGGGAAAGACCCGCCCCCACTATTCGATTACCTCCCACCAGGTCCCTCCCACAACACATGGGGATTATGGGAACTACAATTCAAGATGAGGTTAGCCAAACCATATCACCATCCTAAGATGGCATCATCTGATTTATAAAACATAGATTCATTCTTGACACTTTAGAAAAATACAGAAAAGAATAAAGAAAAACAACCATCATCCACGTTCCCTCCATTTTGCAGTAGTATATTTTTTTTTTTTTTTTTTTTTTTTTTTTTTGCCCAGAGAACAAGTTTTATTTGGTGAATGCTGACGGCAAACATCATCCAAGAGAGATAAGATGGGAAAGATGCTGAAACAAGATAGCCTAGAGAGCCTTCAGGCTAGATACAAAATTCACATGGGGAAAGGCACGGACTCTGGGGAGACTGGGAAGGTCCTCAACCGTTCAGCACCACGCGACGAGCTCTTCGTAGTTGATACAACCATTGCTGTCCTCGTGCTCTGCCACCAGCATCTCTACTTCTTCCTCTGTCATCTTTTCACCCAGTGTGACAAGAACATGCCAGATTTTAGCACCCATGACGGTGCCATTTCCTTCCTTGTCAAAAACCCGAAGTTCTTCGACATAATCCTCAAAGGTGCCCTGGTCCTTGTCCTTGGCCACTGTCTGCAGCATGGGCAGAAAGTGCTCAAAGTCCAGCACCTTCACATTTCATCTCATCACTCTTGGGGTTCCCCAGGACTTTGAGCACCTCGGCATTGGTGGGGTTCTGGCCCAGGGCCCTCATCACGTCCCCACACTGGCTGTACAGGATCTTGCCATCACCTGTTCGGTCAAACAGCTGGAAGGCCTCCTTGAACTCTGCGGTCTGGTCTTCGGTGAAGTCACATATCTTGACTGCTCAGCTCTCTTGCTCTTTTTAAAAAAAGGATTATTGGTCAGCATCCCAAAATGCTGGGATTACCTCCCAAAATGCTGGGATTACAAAGTGCTGTAATCCTAACATTTTGGGAGGCTGAGGTGGGAAGATCACCTGAGGTGGGCAGATCACCTGAGGTCAGGAGTTCAAGACCAGCCTGGCCAACATGGAGAAACCCTGTCTCTACTAAAAATACAAAAATCAGCCAGGCATGGTGGTGGGTGCCTGTAATCCCAGTGACTTGGGAGGCTGAGGCAGAAGAATTGCTTGAACGTGGGAGGCAGAGGTTTCGGTGAGCCGAGATTGTGCCACTGAACTCCAACCTAGACAAAAGACAGAGACTCCATCTCAAAAAAAAAAAAAGTATTATTATATAATGAGTATTTTCCCATAACATAAAATAGTTCACAAAAATCCTCTGTCTGCATGTTCCAGTATATAGCTATGCCATAATTTATTCATTCCCGTTTTTATTGTTTTCTTTTGTTGTTGCCATTATAGATGACATAATGATGGGCCTTCTTACACGTAAAGCTCTTCTATCTATATTAATGCCATTATGGTCACTGTTAGCTCTGCTTGATGCAATTCTGGAAACACATTTTTCTATGCATAATTAGGTGTGCCACTAAGTAGCCCTTAATAACTTGACTGGCTTCACGCTTAGGCCTCAAATCTCATTTCCTGAGGCCAAAGTCAATGTAGACAATTTTTATATGGCCAGTAGCTTAATTACTTTGTGGATGCTTTAAACGTCACAAACATATTTTCTAATGCTGGCAGAAGACATTAACATTTTCCACAGAAGAGAAATGCCTGAAATTGACTTTATAATTGCTGTTCACTTCTATTTCCCTAGCTCTTAACAATGCCATTTTTTCTTTCTCAGGATATTATTTCACTTACGAAGAAACAATTTTGTCATTTTGGTACATCTGATATAAATAAATGAACTCAGATGTTCTACCGACAGATTCGTCTTTCTGCCCATGCTGTGTGGCGGGTGGTGGTGGACGGGAGGGCAGGCTGGGGCCGAAGGCATGGTGCTGCCAGCCCACTGGCGGCCCGTTGGGGTCGTCAGCCATATTACTGTCACTCCCCATCTGATGTTAATATTCTGAGTGATGATATGCTTGATGCAGAAACTAGAGAAATTCCCCATGGAGCTTATCTGTTGACTAAAAACAAAAGCAGTTCAAACTGGTAAGAAAAGAAAAATCATAGTCAAACCATCAGCTCCAGAGGTGAGGCCAGCCTCCCACTTGACATTAGACTCAGCTCACAGCACAGAGTGGCTGGCCAGGGGCCAAGGGCTCTGGGGCCACACCTGGGCATCACCCCAGAGTAGCTGTCTCAACCTCTGCTGCCACAGTACACTGAGGGATGATAGCCACACGTGAGACACAGGGACATGCCCTCATGCATCTGGTCAGATTCTTACAACATCCTTTCCAAATTTGCATGCAGGTAAATCACACCATGAAGATGTTATCAACATCTGAAGTACCTTATAAATATGCGAGTATTAAAAACCTATTTAAAAATCTCTCTCTCTTTCTCTCTCTCTCTCTCTCTCTCTGTGTGTGTGTGTGTGTGTGTGTGTGTGTGTGTGTGTGTGTGTGTTAATTATAAGGGGGAGAGATTTCGCTTTTCTAACTTTTTAAAGTGAACTTTTAAATGAAGTATTTTTGTTTCAACTTGGAGCACTCTCCTGTTTTTCTAAATCCCCTTTTAAAATTCATAAAGGAACTGAGTATATATTCCTTCAAAGACTAAGTGGATATCTACCTAATGATGCAATCAAATGTCAACTTTGCATGTTTTTATCTCATTCAAATGAATGGTGATAGTGTCCATTTTCCTGGCATCATCACTTCGGCTTCTTAAACAGCACAGACAGATGCCGTCCCTTCTGGAAATGCCTCCCTGTCTTGGCGTCCTCATTATCACACTCTCCTGGTCTCCCTCTCTTCTCCATGCTGTTCCTTCTTGGTCTCTGGGCTGGGTGCCACCTCCTGGCTCTCCCCTGACTGTTCCCTTGATGTGGTTCTCTATCGTGGACTCATTTCTCTTCTCTGACTGCACCCTAATCCTTGTCTATAAAAAGCATCCAGCCAGGTGCAGTGGCTCATGCCTGTAATCCCAGCACTTTGGAAGGGCGAGTCAGGTGAATCACAAGGTCAGGAGTTCGAGACCAGCCTGGCCAATATGGTGAAACCCCCATCTCTACGAAAAACACACAAAAAATTAGCCAGGTGTAGTGGTGCCTGCCTATAATTCCAGCTACTCGGGAGGCTGGGGTAGGAGAATTGCTTGAATCCGAGAGGCGGAGGTTGCAGTGAGCAGAGATCGTGCCATTGCACTCCAGCCTGGGCAACAGAGAGAGACTCTGTCTCAAAAATAAATAAATAAAACAAATAAACAAAGCATCCATTGGCAAATGACTTCCACGTTGTTTTTTGTTTGTTTGTTTTAGAAAGAGAGCCTTGCTCTGTCACCCAGGCTGGAGTGCAATGGCATGACCTCAGCTCACTGCCCCCCAGGTTCAAGCGATTCTCCTGCCTCAGCCTCCCGAGTAGCTGGGACTACAGGTGCCTGCCACTGCACCCAGCTAATTTTTGTATTTTTAGTAGAGACTGGGTTTCACTATCTTGGCCAGGCTGGTCTCAAACTCCTGACCTCGTGATCCACCAGCCTTGGCCTCCCTGGAAGTGAGGCCAAAGTGCTGGAATTACAGGTGTGAGCCCTGGTGCCTGGCCTCCAGGTTGTTTATCTCCACATCCTGACCCTGTATCTATTGCATAATTGGTATCTCCCATGGATGCCCAATTGCCCTCTCTAGCTCAACATGGCCAAAACAATTCCTACCCCACAAACCTGCTCCTTCTCCGGGTTTCGTCGCTTCCCTTTTCTCACTCCCTGTATCTGGTTCTTAAACAAGTCTTCTTATCCTTGCCTCCAAAATGCACCCCAAACTCGTCTACTTCTATCTCCACCACTACCCCATCCTGGTGTAAGGCACAATCCCTCATACCTTGCCTACCAAAGTGGCTTTCTACCCAGCCTCCTGGATCCTGCTACTATCTCCCAGAGCCCACTAAAGTGTGGTCTCCACATTTTCATGATTTTTTTTTACAACGTTGGAATGAGATCACGTCAGACCTCTGTGTAAACCTTACTGATGGGCCTACAGAACTCCAACACAATCTGAAGCCCCACCCTGGCTTACCAAGGTAAGCCTGACTTCAGCTTCCATCTCTGAGCAATTCTGCTCTCCTCTCCAGCCCTGCACTGTGTTGTCTCTGACTCTCCATGTTTCCCACAGTTCTTTGATGGCAGGGTCTTTCCCTGCCTGTTCCCTTTGCGTCAGCTCTTCGCTCTGCCTGAAAGGCTCTTCCCTGCATTTCTACCTAGCTGGCACTTGTCCTTTGGAATTCTGCCAGTTGCCATCTGTTAGAATGTCACCATCACCACCCAGCTAGGGTAGCACTCTATTACATCACCGCCTTGCAGCTCTCTTCATAGCTCCTGTCTCCAAGGGATGCTTTTATTGTTAGGTTGGTTGCTTATTGGCTGACTTATGACAAACAACGCTGGTTCAAATGGAGCAAGGGTCTTTCTCTCAAGAACCCGGTGTCATTGCTCAAAAGTAATGGTGAAATACAGAAACGATGTGGTGTCTGTAAATGCTATTTCACAGCCTACAGAAATGCTCAGCACTTGTATTGCATGCATCAGCCCTTGCCTTCTTCCTCATCAAAAGATATATTCGAGGGTGAGATGACAGAGGCGTGGTATCTTTCACTTCTTGTGGGCATTGGCACAGATAAGATGGGCAAGGGTGCGGTCAGATTCAGCATGGCATGCTAGCTGTAGCTCCAAATGCCAGTCAGAGCTCTTATCAGAAGGGTAAGCATAAATCTACGCTGGCTTAGAAAACTTCTTAATTATAAAACTCCTAATTTACAATGTCAGAGTTTCTGTTACTGGGTGTTTCACAGGCACCACCACTTGACCTGTTCCTCTACGTTCTAAGAGCCCTTTCTCTGCAGTTACCATATACAGCTAGTGCTCGACTCACGACCACGGTCGGGACTGCAGAAGGGTCGTAACACGATTTGGTCGTAAGTTGAGTAGGCTGTATGTACAGTTGAAATGGTGCACGCGGAGATGGTAGTGCTGCCAGAAGCTGGTCCGCACCGTCGTACACCCAGCTGGGCAACGTTTGCGCTGCCAAACGAGGAGCACTCGCGGCTAGTGATTGCGGTCGTAAAGTCGAATGGTCGTAAGTTGCACAGGTTGCAAGTCGATCAATACCTGTATGCTGGATAGTCTTTGCCATTACACTCTATAGTAAAATGGAAAATCTATACATTCTGTTAAATTCTATCAGAGGGAACAAAACCTTTCAAAGCCATTCTGAAGCCCATACATTTCTATTTATGCTGTGAGATAATAAATTGAATTTTTATTTATGAACTATAAGAAACAAAGGGACACCTTCATCCTATTATTATGATTGGGATTATAGCCTGCTTCTTTTTTGGAGATGGAGTCTCACTCTGACTGTCACCCAGGCTGGAATGCAGTGGCAGAATCTAGGCCCACTGCAACCTCTGACTGCTGGGTTCAAGCAATTCTCATGTCTCAGCCTTCCAAGTAGCTGGAACCAGAGGCATGAGTTGCCACACCCAGCCAATTTATATATTTTTAGTAGAGACAGGGTTTTACCATGTTGGCCAGGCTGGTCTCAAACTCCTGACCTGAGGTGATCCGCCTGCCCTGGCTTCCCAAAGTGCTGGAATTATAGGCCTGAGCCACTATGCCTAGGCTATAGCCTGCTTTTAAAAATTGTTTCTATTTGTCTTGTTTGCTCATTTTAAGTTTTATTCTGTTTTTTAAATAATACAGATAATCTATGGCAAAAATTTTTTCTAGTACATTTTGTAATCAAAGTGCAGCGATTACACGCGTTTATTTGATATCAACCCACACTGTCAGTCTTTTAACAACATTTCCACCAACCTCCCATTCTTATCTTTGTGTCATCTTTAATAGTTCATTCAGGAAGTTATCCGTAGGTTGATTATTTGAGTTCTTGTACACCTGAGACTATTTCACAACAAAGGACAGCTTGGTAGCATGAACAATTTTTCAATCCATTGCAAAATTAAATTATATTTTGACTTCAAGTGTATCGTTTTTGTAAACCTGGAGCTTTGTGATTCTTCGATTGTGTTTCTTTTTTCTTTTATTCTGATGTTACATTACATCCTTCCTGGGATAAGTGGGCAGAGATAAAACACGCTGGCCATTTATGTCCACGTTAGCATGCTTGGCATGCAGTCGAAATCATTTATCGCATTAGCTGCATAGTACCATTGGGATACTCGGGCAACCTTCCATTTGACTGGGCTCCAGTGGATAGCACTAATTAATCCATAGATGATGCTGACCACTTTCCATCTGCCTTCTTTGCTGGCACCATCTCTTCGAGCCAGAAGACCCTGCCAAAGGGTTAGGTTACATCCTTCTCTGTCTACTTTGACACATGGACTTTTGGACCTGCAGATTTGGGTGTGTCTCTGGCAGCCTGAGAATAAGCTGGGGTAGCCCCTTATGAGTCAGTGTTACCCACTGTGGCCCCAATCACATGTTTTTCTCTCTGCACTGTGCATATCTAGGCATGATGCCAGAGAGAGTTGTAGGAGTAGTCCTCAAACTTGGCACTGGACCTAAGTACATGACAGGAAGCCAGCAATTTAGATGGAGTTCATACCCAGTGACCGCTCTGGCCAGTGTCTAGGAGTTTGAGGCACGCCTCCCTTCCGGGACAAGATCCCCTCCCATCAGATGGCCATGAACTGGTTCCCTCCTACAATTTCCTGGAATGTGCCCCACCTTAGAGAACAGAAGCTTTTAGAGTTATTATCATTTTTATATGGTACTGCATTCTCTGCCTTTCCTTCTAATGTGAAGATATGAGGCACTGAATCTACCCAGCCCCTCCCAAAATGTGGTGACAACAGGAAAATTTCCCACCAGATTTGTTTAGGGGTCATCAAAATGAAAATTAATTTGAGAA